AGGCGGGTGTTCTTGAAGGAGGCCCCCAGCAACGCTTCACAGAGACGAGTGCTCTCATTCAGCTCCTCAGGGCCCTCTCCTCGATCATACGCGGGGCCATTAAACCGCGGGGACATGGGTTTTGCATAGGAACCAGAAGGGTTGGAAGGGGGAGCGACACCGTCGCCGCTTTCATGAGGGCTACCACCATCCAGTTCCCGCATCGCCTTTAGTAAAATGGAATAACAGCGCATGTACTCACCACTGAGAAATAAGCTGAGCCCCATTCGATGGCATCGCCGAGCCTCAGGAAGAAAACTATTCTCCTTTAGCGAGCCTGAAACGCCAAAGGGATGACTGAGAAACGGAGGGTGAATACCATGATCCATATGTATCACCTCCCGCAATGAGCTGGTGGCGCTGATCTCCGCGCCTAATACCTCAGGTGTCGCGCTTAGCGAGAGCTCAGATAGCCATTGCACGGTATCATTTAAGCCGCGAGAGAGACATTGGTCGGAAACCGCGTCCATTGCCTGCCCAACCGTCATGGTGGGGGCTGATTCGGAGCGGAAAGGCGCGCTGACGTCCATGAATCTAAATCACCCTTGTGCGTGTGATGTCTGAACTATAAGTTGTCGTTTTTCAAGAAAAAAAAGGCTTTATATAAAAAAAAAGAACAAACCAACATGTGTCCACTTAGCTCTTTGGCGTACCACTATGTGGTTGCAATAATAAGTTCGTTCTTGATTCATCCATTTCCCCATACACACCTTGGAAAGAAAAGGATGTGTAGGGACTTTAGATGAAAATATATCTTTGGAAATTGCGCAAAGCCGCCATCAGATTGAGATCCAATCGGACGCTCGCAAGGTTTGTTGACTCGTCTCAAGTGACCAATAACTTTCTCCCCAGTTCCACACATGGAGCCTTCATTAAACACTAATACATAAAAATACGCATGCCCTCGAGGAACTCTACAGAAACTCTTACAAAGCATGGGAACAGTAGTAAAGAAAAAAAAAAAACCATGGAACCACAGAAATAAAAAAAACTAATAATGAATAATAAAAAACACCAAGATAAATTTGAAAAGGTCTCTCACATCTTGTCAACGACGCAGGTCCACTGTTTTTGAGAGGATATACACCTCCCACAGAATAGAAATTGTGAGAAAGTTCCTCATGAGAAACACCCCACAGCAACATGTGAATACAAAGGATATCGTATATCCTTGACTTATCGAGGTTCTACACGAAACGCCTCAACGTTAGGAACCTTTAATACGATGACAAATTTCACGGCAAGAAGGGAGCTAAGGAACTCGCCTCATATACAATACTGAAAGGCCTTCAAGATGATCTCCACAAAGAGTAGAGTCTCCTAAACCTGCAGCTAATGGGTTATGAAAAGGGAGGAGAAAACAGTCAGCAAGGAAGACGAAGGTAATCACCACTGAGAGGATAAATAACGAGCAGAAAGTGGCGTGATGTCAAAAACAACATCGGTGTAGAGTTTTCCACTATACGGAATGAAAATATCACGCTGAAATCGCCGCAACAGGCCTCTAATTCTTGCAAAAGGGTCGGATCCCCCTCTCCTCTGCGGTGTCTATGATTAGCGTATCGTCACCATAACTAAAAAAACGGATGAACTACGGCGATCATCTGCTCCATCTTTGCATCCACATACATATTCACAATTTGATATTCTTATGCATAAATCTAATCATGAAAAGGGCGTACTGCTTTAAGGAATTCAGCCCGATCCCTTTATCAATAATGAAGGAGAAAAAGGTTTAAATGATGTTCTACCGTATTAATTTATCACATTAAAATTGATGAAAAAAATGCTTAAGTAAACCAAAATTAAGTTAAATTATGTATTCACGGAGTCAGGAATCCTCCGACGTTGTATTTTAAATAGAGGCTGAAGTTTAGCATGCAATGTATTTTTATTTTTGCAACTTTCAAATGATTTATTTCTTCAAGAATTATTCAAAAGGTAAAGAGCTAAGCAGATAAAACTGAATTGACATTAAATATATCAAAAATCTATTAATAATTTTACCATCGCAACCAAAAAAATTGTTAGTAATACAAATACATAAAAAATAAATAAAGATAAAATATTCAAATTATTAAGCGTAGTTTAATTTCAAAGCTTTTTGGAAAGTTCATTTTCATGCTGTATCTGAATCAATGAATTTTGAAGCTCATTCATGTAAGTTACAATGGCACGAATCCCAAACAAAAAAGCCTCCATGCTATGAATATCTCGATTTGTAAGAGCATAAATACCTTTTTCAAGGTCAAACATGTCATTGTCGAAGTCTTTCCCTCCCGAAATATAAGATTCTTGATCATTATGATTCACACTATGTCCCTCCCTAGATTTCTTCGATTGAAAACATCTGCTGGGGATCGTTCTATTCATAGTCATGTCAAGAATACCCTTTTCAGTGTGTGGATTGTTTGAACTGTTCTTTTTCTCAGTACTGCACGAATTGTGGTCGATGCTCGCAGACGTCTTGAATGCCCTAGCGCCCCCGGTAGCGTTGGTGTTTTCCTTTTTTTTTTCTTCCATCATGCTCTGGGGCGCGTCCGGGCTCTCCTTTGCCAGGTTGAGATTGTCGCTCAGCAGAAGAATCCCTGCGGGTGTATCAAAATTCGCCCCTTCAGCTGCAGGGGATGAATAGGATGCGGTGAAAACATTATTGATCGCATCCGCTTTGTTAGCTTGAGCAGGAATATCCTCTTTTACGTGCTTCAATCCTTCCCCTTCACCCTCCTCGACAGTCAAATTAACTAGCTGATGTGGTATTGAACGGGTGTCGCGGTCTCCGGCAACGTCGCCATCCCCGCGAACTTCTTTTTCCTGACCTTCATAAACAGTATTGTCCAGCATCTCATCCACCTTCATGCCGATGGCGCTTTGTGAAGCTTTAGCGCAGTCCTTCTTCTTGCTGAGTGGCCCACCCTCACTTTTATCAGAAGATAGAAATGAATTTTCCATACTTTGCTCAGCCTTCTTCGTATTGCCTAGTTTGTCTTGGTCCCTATTCACCCTCGGGAAAAAGCTACCTGTGAGATGTTTTTTAAATGAGGCATTATTGTCAAACAGGTTGAGGGTTGATCCTCGAATATCCTCGATGTCTCCTCTAGTAAATTTGCTCTGAGTAAATGAGTCAGCTAAAGTGTAGGGAGCCTTTTTATCATCCGTGAGATCCTTGGCGGTCGCGATGCCGTGCTTCTTGCGCAGCTTTTTTATCATTGTATCGTCAAAGCCCGTCATCGCCATCAGCTTCACGTCATTACTCACCGTGAGAACACGCGATGGCTCCACTTCCGGAGGTTTGTTAAACGACAAGTTCGTGCACGGCGCCACGACGGAGGCGGCAAGTGCGTTTGGGTTGGTCTGCGGCAAGGCCAGGTTAGTCCCTGAGACAAAGTTTCGCATCATCTGGAGCTCCTCGCTGGTTGGTTTGTAGGAAATGTAACTCATCTTCTTGCGCCTTCGTGTCCCGTGCTCCGAGGCGTCCTCCCCGGCGCTATAGGTGCTGTGGCCATCGCGAGGACTGTGAATGCTCTCCACAGGCTTGGCGTGGGTGTCATTGAAGGAGGCCTGACGACCGCCTGTTATATCTTGTTTCCCCAATGCAACGCGAATGGGGCTTTTCTCGGGCTTCATCTCCCCCAAAAGGGACCTTGTTGGACTCCCATCGCCCTCGTCATCATCCTTGCTGCTGTGGCTGCGACTTTGCGAGTAGTCGGAGTTAATTTCAGAGAACAAGTCCGTCTTCGTCTCCTCCGTCTCGTGAGTCCTGTAATGAATGGTCTCAATGTAGATGTCGAGAATGGCTTCGTAGGTCTCGATCATCGACGTATGAAGTCGCGTGAAGTGGCTGGTCGGGACGACTACAGATTTGGAGAAAATCATTAAATGCAAATCCACCGCAGAGAAAATCAGATCCGACAAATCCTTCGCGTGCGGCGCGATACGATGCAGTGCGACCCAGTGAACAGAAAGCGACGTCTGGGAAGCGGGGCTGCTCGACATAAAAATGGAATATGCAAGACACATCATGCTCAGCGCCGAGTGGAGCTTATTCTCGCTCTGGATAACCTTCCGCCAGGCCTCTTCAGGAAATTCTGCAGAGCTCAAACTCGGTTCCTCAATCGCGCCAGGGATGTGGGCGAGCTGGGAAGCTATTTTAGATGACATTTCTTCCAGAAGCGCGGCAGAATCCGCTACGACCTCAGAGAAATCATACGGCATGTCCAAGTTGCATAGTAATCGCGTAGAAGACTCGCGGAAACAACGCAAGCTCACGTCAAGGTCCATCCTTATCTTAGTGGTCCCATGCATTGGCCATAACGTACAGGCAATGACAAAATAAAACACAATAGCAAAACAATTTTGGTTAATACGTGTCATGGCGGCAGCGCTATTCGTGTACTGCGTTACCACCGATATAGTGCTACACACGATCGCATTGCCGAGAGCATAATAATTTGGGGCGGCCTGTACGAATCCGCCAATAAAACTTAAAACAAATACCATCGCATACAGCATCATCAGTCGTCTGTCTGCGATCTCGACACTCATATATGCTGCAATTGATCCTAAGACGGTTCCCTGTAAACGACCGGTGGCATAGTGGAAACTGGCCGACCCGGTTGGATTGTAAATCAACGCAATGATGGAAGCACCAGCGACGGCGCTGGTAGGATTGTTGGACATAGCATATATTTGAAATAGAACGGGAACAACCATACAAAGGGTGAGCTTTATCGACTCCTTAAGGCGACGAGTAATTGTTTGGTTATATACAACTGCCGCGAAAAGCGTTTTAAAGGCTCTTATGACGCTCTTAACATCCCGAACGGGAAAAAGAAGAAGGTAAGCTATACTATTTTGTGGAGATGGGTCCTCAGAGAAGCTCCCAACTACCTCACACAGCTGATCAACACTAAACATAAAGAAACCTAAAAACACGTCTGATTGATCAGTTTCATAGTTTTCATTGTTTAAAATCACATCCTCACGGATACGGGAGAGAGATTCCTGAAAGCGAGCGTGCGCTTCGCGGAAAAATTCGACCTCTAGATCAACATTACGGCTTGTATCAAGAATTTTGAGAATCATGCTGTCTATGGAAGAGGTGATATAAGACAGCTCGTCTTCTATCGCCGCGCCGTACTCCAAGCATGTGGGTGTGGCCACAAGAGACGGTTTATCCACAATAAGCTCAATAACTTGGATCATAGAGCCAATGATTGCATGTATTTTTTTACAGAACGCAAATCGTACCCGCATCTTCGCGCGAAAATTACCAAAAAGCGGTTCGTAGTCAGACTCGCTCATGGAGACTTCAATTTTTTCGATACACTTTTCAGCGGTTGTACGGAGCTGACGCAAACGCGTCATGTTGAGGTCGCGCTCAAAGTACGTTCGAGTCCAGAAACTACTACAAACCCCTTGCACTTTGATGCTCAATACATTTCCGAGAGCCAACATATAATGCTTTGCATTTCCACTGGACCAGCGAACGAAAGGAATAAAAAAAGCTGCAGTACCAAAAGCTAAGGCGATTAAGATGGCAAAAAAATAATGAAGACAATACATATAATCGGTTCCAGATTTGTCTATCATGTATTGCATCATAAGGGAAGAAACCATGTAGGCTACTGTTTTTTTGGTTTCTTCTGAAATGAAGGAAGAGAACAAAATGGCGATAGCCATGGACAAAATGCTAACCCAATCGGCACTTGGTTTCATCGTGATAATCAATCCGGACAGAAACACTCCACAAGTGAAACCTTTCAAGGCAATGAAAAGTTCTCGAAGACCTGAGCCAAAGGTGGGCATGCTAATCCAAAAGGCAGTGAAGGGCAAAGTAGAGGCAAATCCTTCAGGCACAACATGGCGCGTTGATTTCTCGAGAGAAAGTATCATGGTGGGAAGCACCGTAAACAGCGAGGAGCGTATAGTCCAGTCAATCTTCTCCCAAAAACGCGGGGAGGATAGGATGGAAAAAAACTTCGTCCCGAAACCATTCGTAAGGATCTGCTGCCGTTTATCCCATGGGATGGAATGAAGCACGTTGATGTCAAACTTCCGAAAGTTTTGTTCATGTCTCTCCTCCTTGTCATGCAAGACCTTTTTAGACTTGGACACCGACAAGGCTCCGGATTTACCGTGTCGCGGAGGTGGTTTCTTTTTATCAGAGCCGTTACCGTGCCCCTGGTTTCCACCCCCCCCTTTTCCTCCCCCATCCCCATTACCTCCCCCACCTCCATTACCTCCCCCACCTCCATTACCTCCCCCACCTCCATTACCTCCCCCA